TATATATAAGTAGACATTCACGAAATCACCAATGAGCCGGTTGCAAAACTCGCGATAACGATCCATTGTCACTTCAAGTTCGAGGGTACTGAGAATTTTCCTCGCATTCACGGATGTTATATCTTGCCAAATTATCCTTCAAGTGACCTAGCATTTCACCCTTTGGAAGAGCAATTTATTTTACTCTTATCATTTCAACAAAACCAAAACACTCAAGCAAAGCTCCTTACCTCTCAGATCATTCCATTTGTTATCTGGAAAACAGAGAATAAATATGAATTTCAACTGCAAGATGAAATGAAATGGCAGACGTTACAAAGCGTATAAAAAGGTATTGACATAAAATGTGTTGGGGGGTTTTTTCGGTTTTTTTTTAGCATAATTTAATAAAAATACGTCGTCGACGAATAGCAAGGACCAGTAGTCTACATTCACACAAAATACAATAACGTACTTTAAAGAAGCGGAAAACGATGCTCTTCCCACATCCAGCACAGAAATGTTTTTTTGGACTCAAAGAAGTAATTATTATACCCCCTGAGCTAGGGTTTGTAGTCCGCGATTGCTCAAAAAATGCCCCCCCCCCTCCTTTCCACACACACACACACACACACACAAAATTGATCTAAGATTTTTAAAAATTCCAATTGCAAGCTGTTATACTAACTTCCAAAAAAGAAAGCATTGCTTAAATGGAGCAAGCATACGAGGGCTGAAAGCCAAAGCATCGTTTGGCTAAACATTATTTATTTCTTTCCTTTGTAGCAGTTTGTCTTCTTTTATAAGATGCTTGGGCCCACTGTGTCTGAGGTTTAGTGTTGTGTTACACGATCCAACTGCCGTCATTAAAAAATACAGTACATGCAGTTTTTACTATTTTACAGGAGAGCCAAAAGAAACCGGATATTGTTTCCAAGAAAATGAATTGTTTCCAACCATCCAAAGTCAACATTTCTAAGAATACAACTTTGATAATAATTTCCTTATTATCGTTAAGGCCAATGTTTTATTGGTAACAGTTTTTGGCTTTCCAGTAAGATTGTCAAAACTGCATATACTGTATTTTGAAAGAGGACGGCAGCCATGCCCCGCCGGGCATACCCTAGCATGGCGCCCAGAGCAGTTACCCAATCTTTCCTGGCTGAGTTGAGAATAGGATGTCAAAACATAGGGTTTTTTTAGTCCTTAATATTGGAGGTTAGACAATTTGTAGTCTGTTTCGATTGAGCTTGATAACGGCGACGTTTCGCTAGTAAAAAAGAGGACAAGAGAAGACGTATTGCTGAAGGAGCAGATCACACAATCAGGAGCCCACTAACCACACGCATCGTGGATCACATATTTTGTTTCGTGTGCTATAGCTTGTTCATTTTCGTCTGTAAACGTCGAAAAAAATTATAGCTCATTTATAAATTCATAACAGTCTCCTGAGAAACCACATTTCTATTGTGTGTATTTTCTTTTCACTGTTTTTAGTGATTATCCAAAATGGACAATATAGCGCCACAGAAATGAAACACAAGGAGCAGGCCACTCCACCGAGCTTCCTAACTACCACCATACCGCAGACCAATTGAGAGAATTGTTATGTCCATAGTTGGAAAGAACAGATATTTGCACACACATGCTTTGTTATCATATTTCTTTAGCATTCTTGCTAAGTTCATGGATTTCTTTCTACCTGCAAAGCAAAAAGGTGTGCTCGGGGTGCATAGTGGGGAAGGGGAGGGG